CGTGAAGACTAACGAGAGCGGTCATGTTTCCTCACAAAATAAATTGTCCATCTGATTTTGTAAAACATCAAAATCAGAATAGCCTGGATCTCTCCAACCTATCTTTCATCCCAGCATGCTCTTTAGAGGCGGGGGCTGCACTGCTGCCAATTAAAACTGCAGCTCATTAGAGAAGCCGCTTAAGTGAATTGACAGCCAAAAATACTCTGTTCACTTTTAGGTGAGAGAGAAGCGTGGTGGTGAAGTACTAAAACCAGAGCTAATGGCCAATTTACAGTTTTAAAACAGTATTTCCACTGTACACCAGGTAATTACATAAAATAGCAAGAAAAGCACACCAGCTGTGGTTCATGGATGGATGGAAGAAGACACATTTCTCTTCATGAAATTTCCCAACCATTTAGTGGTTTTCAAACATCCCCATTTAAAAGTTTATTCTGCATTGTTATGCAATTAAACTTTAAACACTTTGCACCAGTTGGTTCAAAACAAGTTGACACCAGTGTGGCACAGGCTCCACACAAAACACTGGAAATATAAGGTGCTTAGAAGGCAGCTTGCAAATGTAATTGCACAGACAAACTCTGCCACCCGCCAACCCTGGACCCCCACCTTCATGGCCGCAGTTAAGTGTAATAGTGTATAGTGGATGTGAGAGGGTCTAAGACGAGGTCAGAGCAAGGATCACCAACTAATTATGGCGCGGAGGCACTCAGCCTCCGTCAGATTGTTTAGAAAGCATTAGGGGGGAAGCATGGGCTTCCCTGGTGCATTGCACATAATTAGTTTGGAGCCAAGGTCACAAACAAACACAAGCGTGGGGACAGCCATACACATACAAAAACATACACAAAGACACACACTCTATTCTTCTCTCTTACTTCCTCTGCTCTGCAGCTTTCTGTCTTTCTCTCTCAGGGGCAACAAGGCCCAGCGTCTATTAATTTCCTGAATGAATAGCCTACCAACTGATAGTTATTTATGGACTTTGTATTTAAATATGCTCCTTAATACGAATTACCTTTGGTATTTGATTAACACTATTTTCAATGCACAGCTGTATCTATTAAACAGCATGGATAAACATCTGTTAAGATATTGCAGTCTTTTCTTTTTCTGCCTCAGAATGAGCCTCTGGAGGGTGACGGAGCAGAGCAGTAAGCATGATCGGCATGCCTAAAGGCAATGAGTCTGTGTTGTCTCGTTTGACAGAAATCTATGCGTTTTCTTGTTATTTGTGATAGATCACAAACAAATTTGGCATCACAAAAGACAGTGATGTGTGATTCATAAGCTGCAGTGATAATAATAAATGACTACGCAAAAAATACAAAAGGAGATGTGCAAGAGGCAGGGTCCATAAAGTAGTCCTAAATGGGTGTGGAGGGGTAGGGGGGGAGAGACCATCTTTATAACTGTATTTAAATAGAAAACAGTTGCTAATAAATTGAGAGGTTGTGCTTTTTCTGACTTTGATGGTCAAATATCAGGTAATGAGCCAACTGCTTTAACCGCACAGAGGCCCAGTTTAAGTGCAGCTTTTTCAGTCGTCTGGCAGCACACATCGTTCTGTGTACAAGTGTGATATTAGGCGGGATGTACAACAGTTTAAAAATGAAACACTTCAGTTAATCTGGATGTATCCAGTTAACCTATTGTCCATGTTAGTGATACTAAGGTGCGTATTGCCACTGTAGCTACACAGAGACGCCAGAGGAGACGGCTAACAGGGCTAAGCAGCCCATAGAGCGGGACGCCTTACT